ATTTAATATTATATTAGGAAAAATTATGTCCTAATTTGGTATTAGTTTTAGGGAAAAATAAAAAATATTTGTAAGACCCATTTGGAATTACTTTCGGAGTTCAACTTCTAATTGTCAAACAATCGAAAATTGTTTTAGGAGTTTGATAAACTTTAAAGTATTCGTCTTTTGTTCTGAATTTATGAATTTCAAAAATAATGTAAACATGCACAAATTTAATTTATTTGATTATTTTCATACTATATGGACTATGCTTTTATTTTGTGATTTTTTTAAATTATGAGATATAATCAGATGTTATATTTATTATATAATAACTATATTGAATTCATTGACTTCGAATTATTATTATTTTTAAATATTAGTTAATATTACATATTATTATAAAAGTTAAAATAAATTTTATAATGGTTAAACTATAACAATACTAAACAGGACATCATTATAATCAACGTCCAGTTTAATAATTTTATGCAAGCACAACAATAAAATATTTTTATTTACCAAATGCTAAAATGCTAATTTTGAAACATATAGCAATTTCGAAGTGAAAGTTTAACAAATACTTAGTTGATTGTTCTCGCAGCTGATTCTTTCTTCAAATATCAAAAATTTGATTATCTTAAAAGCACAATTATACCAAATTAAGCCTAAGTAGAAAATTATATGATTAGTTTAATAGCTCAATTAGAAATTGTAACTTGAATTACTAGCTTAAAAGGTATGATTGAATTATAAACACTCTCGGCTTGTTTGGTAAAGATTATTGGACAAATCAAATTAATATTATAATAAAAGAATTAATTTATTATTCTTGTTTGAGCCCATTATTTAGAACTCATATATATATATATATGTGTGTGTGTGTGTGTGTGTGTGTGTGTATTTTATTTTTATTTTTTTCAAATTTACTTTTAATCACACATTCTCCCAATAAAATGGTTTTGTACATCACTTTCACAACTTTTTTATACTTTTTAACAATGCATTCTTCAAAAAAATTACTTTTTACAAAATTAATTCTAAAGAATAGGGCTCAAACATGAGTATAATATTGCTTAGTAGTGTACTGAACGTGGACAAATTATAAGCATATGGAGTTCAACAATTTTATGCTGTTTTATTAGTACACAGGGATGCAATCTCTCTGTTAAAAAATGCAATTTACCAAAGTATAAAGGATGGTTGCCATGGATGACTCTGGTAATGCATGTCATTTTGGAGCATGCATCACCTTTTATTATTAAGAGACTTTCTGTTTTAAATTATTTCGTTTAAAAGTTGAATATTTTCACTTAAAATTTAAAACTAATAAAATGACGTCTGATTTTTATAAAAAAAAGGTGATAATGTTGCGCCTCTTTTAATAAGGCTCTAAACTTTGTCAATCCTAACTTTTAAGTTCACGCATGATATAAATATTCATACACGAACTTGGGAGGCTATTGTTACGCTTCTTTCTCATTTTGAGGAAAAGGTGCGGAAGGTAAAGGAAACAACAGAGGAATCCGAATTGGACCTAAAAGGGAATGACATGAAAAGTCTTTTTCAAAACCTAGCATTAAGGGCGTTACAACGATATACGAGAGGAATAGATAAAAACTCGTGTGGCTCTAAGCATTGACAAATGGCAGTTGCATCGCAAGAGAACTTAGGCCCGCACTCTACATCATTCTACACACGTAGCAATTTGGCCGAACCCCCATGGCCGAGCCCCATGGGTGAGCCACCATGGCCAAAACCCCATGACCGAACCCCAATGAAGGGCCGAGCCCCCCATGAACCAAGCGAGGAAGGTAGAGGCATCTTAAGGAAGATCTTCATACAAGATCTTGTAACAAGTGGGTGATGTGACAACTTACTGTATGAGCAGCTCAACTCAATCAGCAAGTCAAGTCTAGTCTTACATTTCAAGCCTAGGACTACTAATGGTCATAACATTAAATGTACTTGAGCCTAAACTTGACTGATTGATGCCTATGATAAAAAGCCCTAGCTGCCAAGATGAGGCCACGTGTCTCTCCATCCAACTGCTCTTATTCACCCTCTTCTACTATAAAAGCTCACAATTGGTGTCATTTCAAAGGTAATACAAATTTAGACTTCGATGCTATAACTTTGCTCTCTATATTCTTTATTCCCGATTCTGACCTCATTTATATTGGAGGCTCACGTTAAAAGCCCTCCCACACTCGCATTTATATTCTCCAACTGACTTGATTGTCGGAGTGCGCGTGGCCGGCTCCACCCCACCGGAGAAGGTCACGTGTGTCCAACAGTTTGTCCTAATGTGCAGGAAAACAACTTGTTCGAACGTGAGAGATCTCGAGATTTGTTAGCCATCTGGAGGTACACTTTTTAAGGTCAACATATCATATGCACGCTTTATAACTATAAAAGTTACATGTTTAACTTATCAATTGTCTCGACTTATCATAATTTAGGTCACATGGGCCTCTATACACTAACACACTTTATCATGTTGGACTATAAGATTCTACCTTTGATTATGTGAAAGGAAAGTGTTAGTACAACTTACAATTGTCCCAAGAAAAGTAAAAATCAGCACATACATTTTATCGAGTTAAAAAATTAAACTCATAAACCTAACAGTCGACATTCTTGACACCTGGAATAACACATGAATCACGTTCGATACTTTTTTCAATTTTCTTAGTTGCCAATTAATTGCCACAATATGCCAACAACACAAGTAGACTACTAAATAGTTGAAAGTGGGTTGCACTGTTACCCATTTTCTAGGCTTTTCCAAGAGTCCACTATCTTTATTATTATTTTTTTTTTAGTGTGTGTCTCTGTGTGTGTATATATATTATTTTTATTTTTAAGTTAAGAAAGCTAAGCATAATAAAAAGAATGAAAAACAAATCTCAACATGTCTAAACTTTATGTCTAATGAAAAGGACTACTGTCAAATCATGGAAAGTTCTGCTTTTAACTTATAATGTGAGCGGAAAAATAAGTGAATCTGAAAGAATACATATATACTTCTGCTTACAAGTCAAAATATTTCTTACATATAGTTACAAAATATATTTATTTTGCCCAAAAAATGGAAGTCTATTGTCGAAATAAGTAACTTTCTAGTACTATCATTTGAGTCCCTAATTGAGCAATATTACAAAAGAATTAGGGGAATGATTATTTATAATAAAATTTTAAGCTTACTCATTTTTAAGATAAATCATTTTATATAAATAAATTTAATATTATGTATTTTTTTCCTGATTTATTAGATTAATTGAATTTATTAAATAAAATAGTAATGCTATAATCTCTCAGGGCCGCACCAAAATTTGCACCAAACCAAAATTTACCTCTAACCATTACATCAAAACTTACACCAAATGAATAGTATTTTATTATTTTATTCATTCTTCCGATTTTTGACAATGTATTAAATACCACGACTAAGAAAATATTAAATTATGTTATTAAAAAACGTAGTATATTTTGAATCCCAAAATTATGATACTACAAAGTCGATCTAGTGTCGTAATTTAATTATCGAAAGTCATATATTCATTCCACAAATGTTCAATTAATAAATTTTGAAGTGCAATGTGAGCATCTTTTGTTTTAACTCATTATTATTATTTTTATTATTATTATTTATTAATTATTTAATTAATTAAGAATTAGTATTTATGTATAATGTAAAATGACATAAATATCCTTGATATCATTTCGTGATAAATGAAAAAAAAAAAATAAAAAAAAAAGTCAAAAAGGACTTTTATCAAATTTGATGTAAAATGGTGCAAAATTTGGTGTTGGATT